GCAGACATGGGCCAACAATCACAACAGCCGCAGACACTGGCCATCCCCACAACAGCCGTAGACATGGGCAATCCCCCGAAACAGCCGCAGACATGGGCCAACCCTGACAACAGCTGCAGACATGGGCCATCCCCCACAACAGCTGCAGACATGGACCATCCCCCACAACAGCCGCAGACACGGGCCATCCCCCACAACAGCTGCAGACATGGGCCAACCCCCACAACAGCCGCAGACAAGGGCCATCCCCCACAACAGCCGCAAACATGGGCCATCGCCCACAACAGCCGCAGACACTGGCCATCCCCCACAACAGCCGCAGACACTGGCCATCCCCCACAACAGCTGCAGACATGGGCCATCCCCCACAACAGCCGCTGACATGGGCCAACCCTGACAACAGCCGCAGACATGGGCTATCCCTCACAACAGCCGCAGACATGGACCATCCCCCACAACAGCTGCAGACATGGGCCATCCCCTACAACAGCCGCAGACATGGACCATCCCCCACAACAGCTGCAGACATGGACCATCCCCCACAACAGCCGCAGACATGGACCATCCCCCACAACAGCTGCAGACATGGGCCATCCCCCACAACAGCCGCAGACATGGGCCATCCCCACAACAGCTGCAGACATGGGCCATCCCCTACAACAGCCGCAGACATGGGCTATCCCTCACAACAGCTGCAGACATGGGCCATCCCCCACAACAGCCGCAGACATGGGCCATCCCCCACAACAGCCGCAGACATGGGCCATCCCCCACAACAGCTGCAGACATGGGCCATCCCCCACAACAGCCGCAGACATGGGCCATCCCCCACAACAGCCGCAGACATGGGCTATCCCACACAACAGCCGCAGACATGTGCCATCCCCCACAACAGCCGCAGACATGGGTCAACCCTGACAACAGCCGCAGACATGAGCCAACCCCGACACGTCAGCAAGACAACCATATTCGGCTGGCCCATCTAAGGAATCGATTTCAGACTGCCAGTTTGACTGCTCGGACCATTCCGAGTCAGATCCAGGGCCTAGATTTTCGAAGCTCTCTTAGCGCTAAGATAGTCGTAAGTTAATGTTAATGTATGACACTTACGACGATCTTAGCGCTAAGAGAGCTTCGAAAATCTGGGCCTAGGACTGTGCGGAACCGACTGAGGAGCACAACATCCGGCCTCGACAGCCTGTAATACGTACAATTTTGCTCCAACGTCACCGACAGGCACGTTTTGCCTGGTGTAGACAGCATCCAGGGTACAGGAGTCAAGATTTGGATGGTGTTTTGTTCACTGACATTCCGGTACTTCCCTGGAAAGCTGTTTCTCCGGAACTGTCCCCTATCGAACCCGCTTGGGGTGACATGGAGCGACGTTTACGTCAAGCCAAAGAATCAGCCATTGACGTTAGCTAAATTGGGACAAGCGTTGGTTCAGACATGGAACAACATTTCCCAAGATTCCTTTAGTCGCTTAGTGTCGTCCATGCGTCGTCGTTGTCAAGCCTGCATCGACGTCAAAGGTGGACACAAACGGCACTGAATTTGTGAACTGACTTTTGACACATCTCTTCAAGGGTGTGTCACGATCCCTCGTGTCAGATCATACAGTTTTCAATATTATCCTGTCAACAGTCAAGCAGTGATTACGGAAAACATACCATGTTATTATGTTTTTGCATTAAAATGGCATAACATAACATAATGCACAGTTGCTTTATTCCAGTAGTTAACAAATAGCATTGTTTCATTCCTAAAAGAGAGAGAGAGAGAGATGTATGTGTTGGTAACCCTCCTTAGATCTTATGGTTTGTTTGGGAATTTGTATCACCCTAGCTAAATGAATAACACGTTGCTTAATAGCTCATCAAAATCAGAATGACATTGTCCATTTTACCAGGTTTGATCATGTGTGATCATCAAAATGCTTAACGACTTTGTGCCACTTGATAAAGGCAAATACATGGCTGCCACTACACCGATACTATAAGCACTTACTATATACTTCCCATCAAAGTTTAGACGCACTAGCGTAAATATAACCGATGACTTTAGGCAACTGTTCTAAACTACATTTTGCAAAATATTCCATACTGTTTAAAGGTACTGATTATACATGAACTGATATATTGTGAAACAAATTCGTAACGTTGAAAAGATTATTGTCATGAGTTCAAGAAATGATAAAAATCAGTACAAATTGGCGAATGTTTAACACACAATATTTGCACATGCTTTTCAGCAATTTGATGCATGATCCTCGTACAATTCATCTGCATAAGGTTGCAGTTGGTTCCCCCAAGTTAGTGGAGAAATCTATGTTCGATGTAATCATATATATATGTACATAACATATTTTGTGTTTTAAGTGAGTCTAAACTTTTGATGGGAAGTATATCAATCAAGAGAAGGGAAGGGTCAAAGGCAGATTTCAGCATAGCATTTACTAGTAATTAATTATGCATGGCAAACATATATAACAGAATTTCGAAGCATGAATATGGTTAGAATTATTTTATGCTGTCCTGACGCTGAGCAGATCATATGTTCTATGCAAACTCAATGATTGTAAGCATCCTTTGAATATTCATCATTTCCGGAAACAATGGGTATGTTAGTAACGGGGGAAAAGGCCAGGTGCTCCTAAACATGCAGCACGTCGTTAAAGCAGACTTTCAATTAGACATCTGTGGGATTAAACATCTGTGTGATTAGACATCTGTGGGATTAAACATCTGTGGGATTAAACATCTGTGGGATAGCCTGTTACTCTGTCTGTAGACACTGGACCAATTCTTTAAGTTTTCTTTACATATGCATTAATTACCACTGAACGTGACTGTCACCTGTTGATGGTGTTTTGTTATGACTGCACTGTTGTATACCTGTACATTGTCAGTGGTCACCGTCCTGTCAGGAGACCAGCAATATGGTGCTCTGTATACCTGTACGCCGGGACTGTCAGGAGACAACCAATATGGTGCTCTGTATACCTGTACGCCGGGACTGTCAGTGGTCGCCGGGACTGTCAGGAGAGCAGCAGTATGGTGCTCTGTATACCTGTACGCCGGGACTGTCAGGAGACCAGCAATATGGTGCTCTGTATACCTGTGCGCCGGGACTGTCAGGAGACCAGCAATATGGTGCTCTGTATACGTGAACGCCGGGACTGTCAGGAGACCAGCAATATGGTGCTCTGTATACCTGTACGCCGGGACTGTCAGTGGTCGCCGGGAATGTCAGGAGACCAGCAATATGGTGCTCTGTATACGTGTACGCCGGGACCTGTCAGGAGACCAGTAATATGGTGCTCTGTATACCTGTGCGCCGGGACTGTCAGGAGACCAGCAATATTGTGCTCTGTATACCTGTACGCCGGGACTGTCAGGGGACCAGCAATATGGTGCTCTGTATACCTGTACGCCGGGACTGTCAGGAGACCAGCAATATGGTGCTCTGTATACCTGTACGCCGGGACTGTCAGGAGACCAGCAATATGGTGCTCTGTATACGTGTACGCCGGGACTGTCAGTGGTCGCCGGGACTGTCAGGAGACCAGCAATATTGTGCTCTGTATACCTGTACGCCGGGACTGTCAGGAGAACAGCAATATTGTGCTCTGTATACCTGTACGCCGGGACTGTCAGGGGACTAGTAATATGGTGCTCTGTATACGTGAACGCCGTGACTGCCAGGAGACTAGCAATATGGTGCTCTGTATACCTGTACGCCGGGACTGTCAGGGGACCAGCAATAGTTACACTAAACACACGCACTGTTTGGGGTTGCCCCCAGAGTCTGTTTACAGTTTACAGTAGATATCTGTGAATTTGTATTCTGGATGTTATCTGTGATCTTTTGACGAACAAAACCCTGAAAAAAACTTCACTCCATGTCATTCCTGGGGTTGGTTTGAGCCCTTTAGAATATTAAACTTTTCCCCATTCACTCAGACACACGTTCACCAAAATCATCTTTTTGCAACTCTCCAGCAATAAATGATGGATGTCGTAATTGGTGTTTTGACAAGGGATGAGATGATATTACTTCATGTAAAATACCTAGAAACTATAACTAATGCACATATGTTACCCAGCAAACGTGGGTCCAGACCATGCAAGAAAACGGTTACTCAGCCGTTAGAGTGAGATGAGATCTCACAACATGATGGTTCGCGTTGTGGGGGGATGGGAGCAGCACGCTCGGCGTGAGACACAGCATCACGGGTGAAGAGAAAGAAACACGAATCATGCGTTAACCAGGAACTGTAATGAATATTTACTAAAAACACAAACAGATTTTGATAAAATCTAAAGAACCTAAAACCTGGTCATAATATTATTACCAGGTTGGAACCCAAGTATGGAACGTGAACTCCACAGAATAACTAGTCTCGTTTATCCGTACGGTGTAGTTCCGGAGTAGTTCCGGTGTCTCTCCGGTGTATCTCGGGTGCAGATCTGGTGTAGATTCGGTATAGATCCAGAGTAGTTCCGGTGTATCTCCTGTTAATTCCAGTGTAGTTCCGGTATAGATCCGGGGTATCTCCGGTGTAGATCCGGTGTATCTCCGGTGTAGTTCCAGTGTAGATTCGGTGAAGTTCTCGTGTAGTTCCTGTGTAGTTCCTGAGTTGTTCCAGTGTATCTGGGGCGGTGGGGTAGCCTAGTGGTTAAAGCGTTGGCTCGTCACGCCGAAGGCCCGGGTTCGATTCCCCACATGGGCACAATGTGTTAAGCCCATTTCTGGTGTCCCCCGCCGTGATATTGCTGGAATATTGCTAAAAGCGGCGTAAAACTAAACTCAGTCAGTCAGTCAGTCCAGTGTATCTCCTGTGTAGTTCCGGTGTAGTTCCGGAGTTGTTCCGGTGTATCTCCGGTGTAGTTCCGGTGTAGTTCTGGTGTAGTTCTGAAGTAGTTCCGGTGTATCTCCGGTGTATCTCCTGTTAATTCCGGTGTAGTTCCGGTGTAGATCCAGTGTATCTCGGGTGTACTTCAGGTGTAGATCCGGTGTAGTTCTCGTGTAGTTCCGGTGTAGTTCCGGAGTTGTTCAGGTGTATCTGCTGTGTAGTTCCATTGTAGTTCCGGTGTAGTTCCGGTGTATCTCCTGTTAATTCCAGTGTAGTTCCGGTATAGATCCGGGGTATCTCCGGTGTAGATCCGGTGTATCTCCGGTGTAGTTCCAGTGTAGATTCGGTGTAGTTCTCGTGTAGTTCCTGTGTAGTTCCGGAGTTGTTCCGGTGTATCTCCGGTGTAGTTCCAGTGTATCTCCGGTGTAGTTCCGGTGTAGTTCCGGTATAGATCCGGTGTATCTCCGGTGTAGTCCAGTGTAGATCCGGTGTAGTTCTCGTGTAGTTCCTGTGATGCTCCGGTGAAGTTCCGGTGTAGTTCCGGAGTTGTTCCGGTGTTTCTCCTATGTAGTTCCCGTGTATCTCCGGTGTAGTTCCGGAAGAGTTCCGGTGTAGTTCCGGTGCAGATCCGGGGTATCTCTGGTGTAGATCCGGTGTATCTCCGGTGTAGTTCCGGTGTATCTCCGGTGTAGTTCCGGTGTAGTTCCGGTGTAGTTCCAGAGTAGTTCCTGTGTATCTCCTGTTAATTCCGGTGTAGTTCCGGTGTAGATCCGGTGTATCTCCGGTGTAGTTCCAGTGTAGATCCGGTGTAGTTCTCGTGTAGTTCCTGTGTAGTTCTCGTGTAGTTCCTGTGTAGCCCCGGTGTAGTTCCGGTGAAGTTCCGGTGTAGTTTCGGAGTTGTTCGGATGTTTCTCCTGTGTAGTTCCCGTGAATCTCAGGTGTAATTCAGGAGTAGTTCCGGTGTATCTCCTGTTTATTCCGGTGTAGCTCCGGTGCAGATCCGGTGTATCTCCGGTGTAGTTCCAGTGTAGTTCCGATGTAGTTCTCGTGTAGTTCCGGTGTAGTTCCAGAGTTGTTCCGGTTTATCTGCTGTGTAGTTCCAGTGTAGTTCCGGTGTAGTTCCGGTGTATCTCCTGTTAATTCCGGTGTATCTCCGGTGTAGTCCAGTGTAGTCCAGTGTAGATCCGGTGTAGTTCTCATGTAGTTCCTGTGTAGCTCCGGTGTAGTTCCGGTGTAGTTCCTGGGTAGTTCCAGTGTAGTTCTGGTGTATCTCCGGTGTAGTTCCGGTGTATCTCCGGTGTAGTTCCGGTGTATCTCCGGTGTAGTTCCGGTGTGTCTCCTGTGTAGTTCCGGTGCAGTTCCGATGTAGATCCGGTGTAGTTACCATGTATCTCCAGTGTATCTCCGATCTAGTTCCGGAGTAAATCCGGTGTATCTCCGATGTACTTGCAGTTTAGTTCCAGGATAGTTCCGGCGTAGATCCGGTGTAGAACAGAGACAGCGGGTAGCTTTTTTTAGGGTCATATTATTACTAGGCTGAAACCGAGATAGTTAACGTGTAGTTCCTGTGTAGTTCCAGTGTATCTCCTGTGTAACTCCTGTTTAGTTCTGGTTTAGTTCCGGTGAAGTTCATGTGTAGCTCCAGTGTAGTTCCGGTGTAGTTCCGGTGTAGTTCCGGTGTAGTTCCGGTGTAGTTCCGTGTGTAGTTGCTGTGTAGTTCCGGTACAGTTCCGGTGTAGTTCCTGTGTAGTTACGGTATAGTTCCGGTGTAGTTCCGAAGTAAATCCGGTGTATCTCTGATGTACTTCCGGTGTAGTTCCAGGATAGCTCCGGAGTAGATCAGGTGTAGTTTCCGTGCAGAACAGAGACCGAGGGTAGTTATATCAGCAGACGCGATTCGATTATTTCTCAACTCTCCAATTTTGACTCAACAACATCATTAACGACGTTTAAGTGGTTCTTGCGACACCAACGTGCTCTTTGTCTGATTCAGTGGAGTATGTTTATTGTTAGGCCAAACGTTTCAAAGAAATATGAAGATTGATAGGCTTTAGTCAATAATGTGGGCGCTTACTGTTTGTAGACCAATCCATCAGCAAACGTTGCTGTAGTCGTTCACTACACAGACTCGTTCTTGCTTTGTGCAGGCAATGGTTCCTGGAGAAAATAAGACATGGAACTCGGACCTATGGTTGTACCTGAAACCTCCCCTCCACATTCTACTTCAGCCTCTTCATCTGTTCGCCTGACCCACACCGCAATCAACCTACCGCTTATGAACGGTGCTGTTGTCAGACACGTGCCATTGATAACGGCGCTGCTGCCAGACACGTACCGTTTATGACGGCGCTAATGCCACACACGTGCCGTTGATGACGATGCTGCTGTCAGACACGTGCCATTCATGACGGCGGTGCTGCCAGACACGTGTCATTCATGACGTCCGTGATGCAAGACATGTGCCGTTCATGATCATGACGGCGGTGTTGTCAGACACGTACACGACGTCAGCATGAGATGGGACTGTCCCAACCAAACAAGGGAACTGATCCCTTCAGTGGAAGTAACAATCTCAAAGCAGACTCCCAAAATTTCACGCAATGTATCACATTTATGGAACTACAGTCCGTTTGTCTCCAGATGAATACGACGCGGAAATACAGGAATAATCTAGTAAATGTCAACTGATACAAGGCAATGAATAGAAAATAAGTACATGTCACAAAGACTCTTGAAGAAATATCTTGAAACTGAACTGTTAACAAAAACAAACTATGGCAACTTTTGAATACATTTGGATACAGATACAAAATGATAAGTGGTGAAAATATGGCTGTGTTATGTGAACGATCTGGCATCGTTCCTCACCGAAATCATTATCTTCGAACGGTCAAGCAGAAACGTGAAGAATGAGCATTTGTTTGCTGTTGAGGCTTGTATCTCACACAGTGTCGTGCGACAGTGTTATTCTCTGTGATATAATGTAAATCTCTCATACATTGAAGCTGTTGGAGGTCGTCTATTAATTATATCGATAAGTTATCGATAAGTTATTTTAAAAGGGAGTGAGTGAGTGGGTTTAGTTTTACGCCGCGACAGCGTTATTCTCTGTGATATAATGTAAATCTCTCATACATTGAAGCTGTTGGAGGTCGTCTATTAATTATATCGATAAGTTATCGATAAGTTATTTTAAAAGGGAGTGAGTGAGTGGGTTTAGTTTTACGCCGCAGTCAGTAATATTCCAGCTATATGGCGGCGGTCCGTAAATGATCGAGTCTGGATCAGACAATCCAGTGATCAACAGCATGAACATCGATCTACGCAATTGGGATCCGATGACATGTGTCAATCAAGTCAGCGAGCCTGACCACCCGATCCCGTTAGTCTCCCTTTGCGATACCCTTGGGTTATTGAAGATCAATTCTCGCCCGGTCTATTTTAAAAGGAGGGGTGCACAACAGACAGAGGAGCAAAACAACATAACAACATATGTTATATTTGGGATAACACTCTCTTAGCAAAGTTCAAATTCTAGGTACTTTTGGGGTTGAGTCAGAGATTTGAATGTCTAAAGCTCTTTTGTAACTATCACCATCTGCACATTTGCGAAACAAAGGGAATCAGTAACGCATGACTGAATGTAGGTTGGTATTTGAGGAAATGGGGATTAACAGTACTATTAGTCAAGTTCCTTTCAAAATGGCCTTTGTTTATTTCTCATAGGATATGATATTCAAAATCTTACTGAACTGTAGTCCTATTTTTATAATCATGAAAGGTAATAAGCCATAATCCAAGCTGACAAATCCTTTAGTATGTTAATGAGGATTATGTCAGATAGAGAGACCGGCTGATTATATATTGTAATGTGGGCCTGTAATGATGTCATGATACGGTACACCCTAAGGTAACAGTGGTGAGACAAAGCCGTTTTTGCAACAAGAGATGATAGAGGTGTGTATTTTGATAATAAGCCCAAAGAAATATGCAAAATACAAATTTGATCAAATAGTGTACATTGTAGATATAATCTAACTTTGCATTTCACTTTTAATGACAAAAAATGAATTGGATTTAGTGACCACTGTTTACCAACATCAATATCTTGTTGATTTAAAGGAATACAGAAATATATTTTATTTTATTTTTTATATTATTTTTTTAACAAAGTAATTTGTAATTGTAATTAATTACATTGGTAATGTAATTGTGAATTTAATTAATTACATTTTAATTTAAGGTGCAATTGCATTTGTAATTGTAATTGAGGAAAGTCAAAATAATTGTAATTTAATTAATTACATTTCAAAGTAATTGAACCCATGTCTGGTTGAGTCCATCCGGGATTCGGAACCCACACCCTCCGAGTCAGGCACCAAATCGCCAGCACACCAACTGCGCCCTTACGATACATACACAATTAAAACTGCAGTGACGCTGTCGAAGCTACTGACAAGGCCGTGAGTAAGAGTGAGAACGGCAGAACATCTCTCCAGCCAGTGTGTACAGCGATCAATCTCACGTGTCCGGGGACAACCATGCCGTCTTCATTAACGGCATTGAAACATGATAGACACAAGTGATTGTAAGTAAATAGCCCATACACACGTCGACAGGGAAGTTTATTTTCTCTTTAGATTCAGTGAAACGGACAATTATGTCCAGTAAAAGTCTACAAATAGGATCACCCGAGACAAACGGTAAAAGCTTTAAGAGAATGAACGCTGTAAGTGTGAGGTATACATCTGCGGATGTATTGTTTCCAAATATTTCTTCAGTTGAAATAATAGTGAATCATATCACCGAGGCGAATGATAGTCTTCCATGACCTTAAGAAAGACATTATGTGACAGAGGGTGTATTTGCAGTGAAAGGTTGCTAACAGTTATTCTTTATTCAACTGTTGACTGACACACACTCATAGCCTACACGCACAAGCACACACGCACACACGCACACGCACGCACTCTCTTATACATATGTTCATTTGACAATTCCTGAATACACTGCCAGAAGCTCTGTGCGTGCGTGCGGTTTGGTGGTCCAAGTGTACCCTTGTTGATTCCCACAATGTCGGCAGTCAGCATGTGGTTACAGCTTTAAGATTAGTTATTAAATATTGTATTTGAGAAGTTACACATGCTTCACATTCGAAGCACTGTATAAGTGAAAGGCGTCCATCCAAAGCAGTTGCTTGAACGCGTCCTACTGATCTTCATTTCCACACACAGTTGGGCATAGAGGCAGATGTATTGCCAAACGCGGTTGTGTGTTAATACATCCCGTGCCTCGTCCGACTGATCTTCACCTCCACAGACAGTTGGACATAGAGGCAGATGTATTGCCAAACGCGGTTGTGTGTTAATACATCCCGTGCCTCGTCCGACTGATCTTCATTTCGACAGACAGTTGGGCATAAAGGCAGATGTATTGCCGAACGGTGTTGTGTGTTAATACATCCCGTGCCTCGTCCAACTGATCTTCATTTCCACAGACAGTTGGGCATAGAGGCAGATGTATTGCCGAACGGTGTTGAGTGTTAATACATCCCGTGCCTCTAATGCACAAAATAATTGTGGTGATCATAGAAGCTATTAGCTCCTGTTTGGCAATTACTCGAACATACATTCTGATTGTTGGTTTACATGCATTGCCTGCTTTTATTACACGTTTACGTGATGTATGAAGGACTTTGTCATTTAACCTAAAGAGTTTCCCACCAGAATGTCAAATACCGCCGATTACCACTTGAACACCACTCAGGTAAGGAACGCTGCAGTTTAATGGCAGTGCTAACCCACGCGTTTATAGCGGGGAGCTGCATCAGCATCACCTACAGACACCGACATGTCCAACAGCACACACACGTGTACATGGCAGTACACCAAATATGGGCGAGTTGGCTCGTGGCATATTTGGCTATATTCCGGGTGTGAAGGAAATATGCTGGGAGCTAAACTTTGGGTTATTTTAGAAGTTAGATTAGGAATATTTATCACAAGCTGGTCCATGAACGCAAACAGGTGAATTTCGCAACATTTTCTTTGCAAAGTATTTTCTTGAAAGCTAGCAAACATTTTTTTTGAATGCTGAAATACAAAGGTAGTTCACTGGTAGGACATCAGTATAAGAAACTGTAACTATAGCACCTCGTAGTTCTCTGGTAGGGCATCAGTATATTACAGTGCATATATGTCTTCATACATTTTTATATTTTTCACAAACTATTCATAACAAAGGAAATCTATATAGGTGCAAGTCGCTGTGCATAGTCTGTCTAGTTTATAGCCCCGCATGTAGTAGGCATTGGCCGTATCGTGCTATGGGATATATTGGCTGTGTCATACTATACGATATATTGTCCGTATCGTGCTATACGATATA